CACAACCTTCCCCCCGGTACTGCCTAAAAGCCCAAACCTTCAACCTCACAGGCCGAATGCGCTGAAGCCTAAATGTCAAAATCCACAGTCCCCAAAGAGTATTAACCCTAAGATCCCAAACCTCTCAGTATCCAACAGCCCTCAGCCCTAAATGCCCAAAACCCTAAACTCTAAACCCTTTACAGATCCCTTTAAAGAGCCCCCCAAACCCCCGCAGCCTGAAGCTGCCACCCCCTCTTTCAGTAAGCCCTGAACCGCCTAAAACCCTAAACCCTAAACCCTAAACCCTAAACCCCTAAACCCCTAAACCCTAAACCCTAAACACTAAACCCCACAAGGTTGCTTCACTCCAAACTCTGGAGTCGACGTTGGCCGGCTCTCCGGGCGTTGCTGATTCAAATCGGAATCGCATCTGGGCTTAGGGCCCTTAGGACCCTTAGGGTTTAGAGTTTAGGGTTTGGGGATTAGGGTTTAGGGTTTAGGGTTGAGAGTTTAGGGTCTAGAGTTTTGGGTTTAGAGCTATAGATGGCGGTGTGGTGGTGTTCAGGGGCTTGCATTGGCTTGCCTAGCTTTGGGGCGTCTAGCGTTTCTCGAAAGCGCTGCACGAGGGTTTCTCGTCGAAAGGTGCCGCGGAAGGCCTGCGGGGATGGACTGTACCACTGCCGCCTGTGCTGGTCCATCCACTGCCTCCGGCTCCCGCAATGCGGCAGCGGCTGCCTCCCAAAAGCGGGTGCGCAGCGTGTGGGTTCCCCGGAACGAGCAGCCGGCCCCTGATGTCGGCGGACCCTTCGTGCCCAAGCTCCGACCTGAAGTTCTACTGTGCCGGCTGCAGCTGACTTCTTTGACTTGAGATATGTGTGGTTGTACCACCTGACATCAGGGTGTCATTGCGTCTCCTGCTTTCTTGCGTGGATGAGCTCTTGCAGCAAAATGATGCGCGGAACCCACCGCTAAACAACGACGACATTACCCTCGCAAGGCGGGCGCACTCCTCCTATCGCATACGCAGATGTGCCTGCAGTGCGCAAGTGGTCGCTGCTAGATTCCTGCATTTGTTGCATTGTGTTGATCGGAAGCCTCCTGCAACGAAGCTGAGCATATGCATGCACGGCCGGAGATTGAGATCTCTCAGACCTTACAAGGTCAACCTGCTGCTGCACGGCTGGGAACCAGAACTCTACCCCGGAGTTCGGACCTTGGGATAAAGGAACCATCACGCGAACTAGTTCAGGTTCGATGCTTGTCTACAGGCTCGCAAAAATGCGGTGATTCGTTTCGTGGGGATGGGTCGAGATACGCAGCTGCGTGTGCTCGACAAATTTCGAAATCCGGTGTACAAGTTCACGCCTCCACCCAAGGCAGGCAAATACCGTGCAAGAATGGTGCTACGACGTTGTTATTTTAGGGCGCGGTGGACTGCAGCAGCTGGACCAGCATTGGCCAGCTGATGCGGCGTTGAAGCCGGTTCCAGCACGGAGGACAGTGACTGGGCAGGATCCTCAGAAGTTGCGCTCAGGTGCACCGGTGTGCTCAGATCACATTCTCTAAACTAACATGGGACCTGCGTGCGCCTTTTGGGGGGCTTGGCATGGGCATTGTTACCGACTCTCCCTGAGCATCTTGAGCCACAAGGCAATTTTGAGTTTCCATACGAAGAACCTCTGACATGGAACCTCCTGCATCATCCCCTTGACGAGTCTTGGGGACTGCTCAAGCTGTTGTCATCCCACCTGTGTCGTAGCAACTCTTATTGGTGGCCAGTCTTGCTTCGTTCTCACCAAGGATAGCAGTGGTTCGATCGTTTTGCGTGCCCACACACACACACCCTCACAGCAGTTAACATGAAAATACTTCGGACATGTGGCGAACTCCGGTGCACTGCTGCACAGAGGGCGTATCCCAAACCTCCAAACACGAGGTGCGACACCGCTAACCTAAAAGCTCGAAATTTCCTAACTTTTCGCATAATATGGCAGTGGTCACTTATACACGTGGAAACCCTCCAGATTCTGGACTCTCACGGTTTAACTCCTTCGCGATAACTCATCACGTCCTGAACTTCCACGGCTAGACTCTTGCGCGGTGATCCTTCAAATGAACCTTCACGGTCCGACCCTTTCGCGGTTACTTCTCAAGTTATGAGTTTTCAGGGTTAAACTCTCTTGCGGCGACACTTCGGATTCTAAACTTTCGCGGTCGGACTCGTCCGTGGTGACCTGTCAAACTCTTCACTTTCACGCAACAGTTGGGAGCGAAGGGACGGCGACAATCACTGGTACTCTAGAGCAAAGACTGGCTGGTACAGACGTGACTTCAGCGGCTGGGCTCAACAGGGCTGCACCAAGCAATGGTATGAGTCGCTGCGATCCAAGTCTGAGCCAGCACGGGGGGTGTGGATTCATGTTCCGGATTGTGCTTACAACAGATGCGAACCTGCAGGTCAAATAATGACGTTACGGATTGTGCTGGAAGGACATCCTTGGAGGTTCATGGGTAGTTATAAGTAGGGTCATAAGTAGGGTAACTATAGTTATAACCTATATTAGGGGACGTATAACTCCAATAACTACCCATGAACTTCCAAGTAGTGACATATAGTGACATGTAGTGGCATGTAGTGGTGTGGTGACCATCCGTCGCATGCCTGTTTACTTGCGGGAATCCGCGTTTCGGCGATCGCATGTCGTGCCTGCGATATCTCCCGTCGTGTGTGTGTGTGTGTGTCTGTTTCTGTGCGTGTGTGTGTGCAGAACACCGCTGTACATGCGGAATCCACATGAACATGATTTGCAAAGTTGTCAAGCCAACAGCCGACTTGGTGATGCGAACCGGATTGAACAGTCCAAAGCAGCAAACAAAAAAGGCCAGGGGCGGGAGCACCATTGCAAGTGTCCTGCAAACCAAGACGCTTGCAGTTTGTCGAGCATGGATGGAGTTGCGTTGAGCGTATTGCGCATGCCCAGAACTCCGCAAGCAGGAGTGGAATGTCAGGTCCGCAATGGCAGGTCTCATGGAAGAGCGATGCAGTAGGAACAGAGACATACCCAGCTTCGCGATTCAGGCGGTGTAAGCTGTGTATGGTTGGTGCCACAATGAGAAACAACCCGTGCATCAAGATGCCCCCGGAAACTGCAATCAGTTGATCACAAGATGTTGGGCACCGTGTGCACGGCACTACCGCCTCTCAAACGATTTCTTGTTTGAGTACTGTATGTCTTCCTATGGATTTTGTCAAGGGGCGTCGGACTGGTGTACGGATCGGATGGGAGCATGGGCATGCCACCATTGATGACGAAACAGCCCCATCGACATTTGCCCTTGACTGGACAACAGAACACTGACCCCTTTCTGATTCGGTCAACCATCGAACTTGATGACGTTGATAACTCCTCGGATCTCCTGCGCTAGCAGATGTATTCAGGAATGCATATGCCCAGCAGAGTCCATGGATGTTTTCTTCAGTCTCGAATTTGCACAGACACAGGAGGGGGGGGACGGGGTTCGGGTTTGTTGGCTAGTTTCGCTTTGATTCGGATATTACAGGTACAGGTCTTTCCCCGCTCAGTGGTGGTCGAAGCTTTTTTGTTAGGTGCTCTCTCCACCTGCAAGTGTGGTTGGTCAGTTCATGTTAGTGTTTCTCAGCAGGTTTTGCAACTTGAGCAAACATGCCATGGACTGTGCCCTAAACCCTAAACCCTAAACCGTCTGTGCAAATTGCGCAGTTAGACCAGTTGGTTACCCTACATTTGGGTGTAGAGTGCGATTTTTGGGTTGCCAAGGTTGACTGCAGCCGCAACCTCAGTTATGGTTTTTTAAGCTTCATGCAAAACTCATCGCATGGGATTCGGGGGCTTGGGGTTTCGAATTTCAGGAAAGTTCAGGATGGGCTTCGGGGAAAGAGCCGTGTGGTTTACGGTTCCGTGAGCTAAGTTGACCATTGGGCCTCCACCTGAACTGGCGCATCCGGTCCCGCCAGAAGTCTCCGGCGCCGCAATGCGTTTGGGTTTTTTCAGTCTCACGGGTTTAGGGGGCCGCAATAGGGTGTAGAACCCTAACACCTAGCCCCCAAAACCCCTAAACCCTAAAGCCTGAACCGTTTTGGGTTTAGGGTTTGAAAAGGTTGGAGGTTCAGGGGTCTCGATCGGAAGGTTTGATGGGCTTGGTGCAGGAAGATTTCTGATAGAGTGAACGGGTTGCATCATTATCCCTGGGGCACAGAGGGTGACTTGTTTGCCCCTGAGTGAGCTAGTAAGTACACTGGTCAGTCGTCGCTAGGTGTTAAAAAGCCCACTCCACACCCAAAGCTCTCAACCCTAACCCCCGACCATGGACCCGGATCCCTAAACATGCAAACCTTAGCCATGCAAGTCCTGTTGTCGTCTTTCACGGGTTCTGGCGTTTGTGGCCTGACAGGACATACAACAGGTTTGCATGGACGGATTGTGGCATATTGTGGCCTAGGGAAGTGGTGGCAAGTTGTGGCTTAGGGTACACTTCCCAGACCTGGATTTATGGCGTTTGGTTTGCGGTTAGTGTATGGCTCCCCTGTCCTCACTCAAAGTAGTTGGATGGCTTATATATGGTGCACTTGCGATGCCGAGGATTTCATTTTTTGGGCTGGTTTGAGGAATGAGGGTTACGCTTTCAAGGCATTTTTGGCACGTCTTCCAGATGCCAACGCGGCTTCCGTTCTGTGGATAACGTTAACCTCGTGTAAAGGCTTTAAGGTTAGGTTTTCGGGCCTGTTCTCGATTCGATGGGGGCCCGGACTCACGGACCCAGGAGTTTGGGTAGGCCTTTAGGGGCCCGTACCTGCAACTCCTTTTACCTACACTTCAGCAGCCCAGTACCCTGTAATTCATAGGTAGAACCCAAAAAGCTGTAGGTAGTTAGAGTACCAGGTACACCCGAACGGCTTTAAGCCCAAGCCCTATGCTCCTAGCCCCAACGACTCCTCACTTCGGAACGCCCGCTTCAAGGTCCTCAAGATACAGGTGGAGATGCCTACCAGGCTTGAAGAGCTTTGTGCCGAGCCACTGGAGTTTGATGCTTGGGCTTTTGAGGTATGGGGTCGGGTCCCTAAGCCCTAAGCCCTAAACTCTAGGGTTTAGTTCAGGTCAGGCTGTTGTAGTGCTCGAGGTGTTCGTTTCAGGCTCAGGAAGGTCAGGGGCTCTGCGGGTTGGCTTCAGCCCTTGCTAAGCCCTCACAGCCAAGCTCCCTAAAACTCTTGAACCTTGTGCAAGCCTTTAACCCCATACCCTACACCCTACACCCTAAACCCCGAACCCGAGACCTAAACCCTACATCCCGAACCCCAAACCCTAAACCCTAAACCCTAAACCCCAAACCCCAAGCCCCAAACCCCAAGCCCGAAACCTAAACCCTAAACCCAAGATCTTGCTTCTCTGTCCCCACAGACTCCAATATCCCTGAATTAAGGAATTGTACCTTCAATTATCGTAGGATCCCGAGTATGATTTTTTCGGTATATTCCTTAATTTAGGGATATTGGAGTCTCTCTGTCACCAAAATCTACTTCTTTATAGGGTCCTTATAAATTTCATATTCGGGTTTATATTCAGGACTTACAAACAGGTAGATTTGCGGAGGTTAAGGTACACTTCTTCTGTCTTGCGCTGCTGCCAGCCCCGAGGACCCTAAACCCTAAACCCTAAACCCTAAACCCTAAACCCTCAACCCTAAACCCTAAACCCTAAACCCTAAACCCTAAACCGAGGATCCTATTCCGCTTCCAGAGCTGCCAGATTTTCGGGGCCTTTTTTCGGGTTTTTTTGGGTCGAGGGTTTAGGGTTTAGGGTCTTTTTGGGTTTAGGGTTTAGGGTCTTTTTGGGTTTAGGGTTTTTGGTTTGGGTCTTTTTGGGTTTAGGGTTTAGGGTTTGGGTCTTTTTGGTTTTAGGGTTTAGGGTGTCAGTTTGAGGTCTGTGTGGGTTTTTCGGTTGTTTTAGGGCTTCCCAGGGCTTCAAGGATTATTTGTTTTTTTTTGTGGAGGGGCTTACGCTTCCACAAAGCTTCTACCGTTCATGGCCTTTGATTGCACGGCGTCATTGTGGCACATGAGGTTGAAGCTTGGGGCTTCAAGCTTCGGGGTTAATGTAGGCGCCTTAATATCTGAAGAGGGTTTTGGGGGTTCCTCAGTACCATTATAGTATAGCATGCCAATATCATTGCTAGGGTTCCTTATTATAAATACACTATAAAGGAGCCCAAAACTCTATTCTAATGATTAAGGCCCTTACATTAGTTCAGGGCGGACAGGTTCTCAGACAGCCAAGGAAGTGCCGGGGGCGCCTCCTGAGCCAAGTATCGGTGGCGCGCCGCCGAGTCCGCAGAGGCTGGCCTCCTGCGCTCACCAAACTCTGCCTGGACCCTACTTGGAGGTTCATGGGCAGTTATAAGTGGAGTTATAAGTCCCTTAATACAGGTTATAACTATAGTTACCCTACTTATAGCTCTACTTATAACTACACATGAACGTCCAAGTAAAGAACCTACCTTTTCGGGGTTCCTTCATATGATTTTCTTATCTACGTCCTTAAAAAAGGTATATAGGTGATTTGGGGTTAGGGTAAACCCTGAAAGCCAAACTTGGAGGTTCATGGGTAGTTATAAGGCTCCTTCAAGGGATCGATAAGAAGGTTCTATAATGGGTCTATAAGGGGTCGTGCATATTGTCCCAGTAGCAATCTTAAACCTTGCATCATCAACTCGAATCAAAAGGCGAACGAGAGAGAGGATAACTGGCGGTTGGTCGTTCATTCCCTCGCATGAGACTTTCCTTCCTCAATCTTGGCAGTTACCGTGGGAAAAGAGAGCCATCATGACGATGGCCGCCCAGTTCCGGTAGATAAGCCCTCATGCTGTCGTTATCCAATTTTGATTCGATTTTCAAGTCAATCCTGTCTCTTGACCATTAGTATTTCCTTTTCGCCTACTCTTCGTGCTTCTTACCTTCATGAGCACGGTTTCTCGTTTTCTAGCTCTGGCAACGAAGAGCACGAAGTAAGCGAAATGGACAGGGGAGTGAGTGAGCTAAGGCAGGGAACGAGGGAAACAGACGCTAAGAGCACGTTTTTCTGTAGACTCCTGCAGCATGACACCACTGCACATAGCAGGGGGAAAGTGAGTCTATTAAGAGGAGAATGTGTTGGGCGAATTTAAGCCTGAACGTGATTTTCGGGGCTTTCACTGGTGTTCACGCCCTTGTTTGCCAATCCTGGCTTGGTTTTCAATTACGGTTTAGGGTTTAGGATGGATTCCCTGCTAAACCAAACAGCAGAGGCACCCTTATCCCATTGAAGAGGCCAGAGTTTTCGGAGAATGAGCTCCTGATACGCTGGGCGCTGGCGAGGTTAGCAGCTCTTCCATCGTTTCAGGTAGGAATAACTGAGAATTCGCCGTACATAAACCCTATAAACCCAAACCAAGACCTGAACATTAAACCCTAAACCCTAAACCCTATAAATCCAAACCAAGACCTGAACATGAGACATCCACAAGCAACCCTACTTGGAGGTTCATGGGTAGTTATAAGTGGACTTATAAGTAGGGTAACTATAGTTATAACCTATATTAGGGGACTTATAACTGCACTTATAACTACCCATGAACCGCCAAGTATGGCACTATGGCACGATACATGCCCTGAGTAAGGTGTCTTCAACTCTACCCAGACCAGGATCCCGGTTTAGGGTTTAGGGCCTAAACCCTAAACCCTAAACCCTAAACCCTAAACCCTAAACCCTAAACCCTAAACCCTAAACGTTTAGGGTTAGGGCTCTAGGGTTTAGGGTAGCCTCAACCCCGAAGTTCCGCAACTTTACACCCATACCATAAAAGCCGCGGAAAAAGCTCAAAGGAGCCGCTGAGAGGTCCTGCGGAAGCCTAAATCATGAGCAGCATGATTCCTTAGGGTGCCTTATCATATTGAAGCTATGGTCGACCTCCAAAGCCTAGTCTAGTCAGTAAGGCCCCTTTAGTAGCTTACTTGGAGGTTCATGGGCAGTTATAAGCGGAGTTATGCGTCCCCTGATACAGGTTATAACTATAGTTACCCTACTCATAACCCTACGTATAACTACCCATGAACCTCCAAGTAAAGAACCTACCTTTTTTAGGGTTCCTTAGTATGATTTCCTTATCCCTAAACCCTAAACCCTAAACCAGTAAGGCCCCTTTATTAGCTTATTTCCAACCTTCGAGGGAGGAGGACGGCGGGTTTTACTCAACCCTAAACCCTAAACCCTAAACCCTAAACCCCTAAACCCTAAACCCTAAACCCTAAACCCTAAACCCTAAACCGTAAATCCTAAACTGCTGGTTTTCTGTTTGAGGCCTTGTGTTGAACGGGAACGATTTAGGGCAGGGACTCTTTGAGGCATCGGCTACGGCCTGGAAAGGTTACCATAGGGGCTTTGGGGTTTAGGGGGCCTTAGGGGTTTAGGGTTTAGAATCTGGGGTTTAGGGTTTAGGGTTTGGGGTTTAGGGCTTCAGGGGTTTAGGGTTTAGGGGTTTAGGGTTTAGAATCTAGGGTTTAGGGTTTAGGGTTCAGGGTTTAGAGTTTGCTTAGGCTTGAAGGGTTTAGGGAGTTTACAGGTGCTATTTCCTGGGTTCGGGGGCTTACGTATGTTTAACGTTTGGTTATTGGGAAGTTCGGGCACGTGAGCAAAGGACTGTCCGGCAAACTTTGGCTGGTCGGTTGTCGACGAGGACGAGGACGAATTGCTTTGCCGATGCGGGGGTGGCAGCCACCACCTCAACATGACTTCGGTTACGAGCCCGGGTCATTGTTGGACTGCGTGTTAGTTACTGTTGTAATTGGGTGACTAGGTGCCTAAAGCAACACTTCTAAACCCATGACCGCAAGTGCCCTGACAGTGACCCAGGAACATACTTGCGCCATTGGGGTACTCGAAAGATGTCTTCAGCGCCTCGGAAATACTTTAGGGTTGAGGGTTTAGGGATGGCCCAAAGAATGAAGCACTTAAATTATAGATGAATGTGCAAGGTCAAATAACGACCTTAAACTAAACCCTAAACCCTAAACCCTAAACCCTAAACCCTAAACCCTAAACCCTAAACCCTAAACCCTAAACCCCAAACCCTAAACCCATACCAAACCTACGTGCTCTGCGGCCTAAAGCCTAACCCTTTTGTGGGGGGTTGCAGCCTGGGTCCCGGGTTGTTTTTCTTCCTGGCGTTAGCCGTTGCCTGCTTCCCCTGGTGGCTGGTAGCCCGAGTGGGGCGAAGCTAAACCCTAAACCTTAAATCCTAAACTGAAACCCTGAAGCCCTAAAACCCCAGAATCCTAAACCCTAAACTCTACACCCTAAAACCCCAAAACCCTTAAGCCCTAAACCGCCGCTGCCTCGAAAGACCCAGGATCGCACGTGGACAGAACCCGCAGCAAGTATGTTCAGAGGAACATGATCGAGCTCGTCAACGGCTTCCTCCAGGAGCCAAGCAACCCACCATCAGGGTTTCAAGCGTGCGCTTTGGAGTTTGGGCAGGGTGAGTTTTGGTTAGAGTTTAGGGTTTAGGGTTTAGGGTTTGGGGTTTGGGGCTTCAAGGGTTTAAGGTTTAGGGTTTAGGGTTTAGCCTGATGCAGTAAACTTGAAAAAACAAGGCCGCAACCAAATAGAATCTGCGGTTCCGCCCTCTTCCAGGAGCACGCTGGGCAAAAGCCGGAGAATCTAGAGGAGATGGGCTCAGAGTTTATGATCTGCGGTTTAGGTATGTTGAATGAGGTGTGTGCAGATATTTGCAGTAAGATTCCGGTTTGCTAGTTGGTTGCAAGTTCGAAGATAGAAGGTGTGGGTTGCAGGTATTATTGGGTTTGAGGCTTGAGTTTGAGAGGTGTCTAGGTTTGTGGTCAGGTGCTTAGTGGTTTCGACATGGGGTTTCGTTTAGGGTTGGGGTTTGGGGGGTTGCTGTTGAACGCCAGGTTAAAAAAGGAACAGATTGGCCTGGTCGTAGACGAGTCAAAGCTGGTCCATCAACCCGGTGCGACAACACAGGTTTCAAAGCGGTCAGGTGCTTCAGTTGATCTTGCACTGCACTGACCGCTGTTAGAGTTGAAACTAAACCCTAAACCCTAAACCCTAAACCCTGATCCCCTAAACCTTAAACCCCTAAACCCTAAACCCCTAAGCCCTAAACCCCCAAACCCTAAACCCCTAAACCCTAAACCCTAAACCCCTAAACCCTAAACACAGTACGTAGGGCTTGGCGGGTTGTCAGGAGGTGGCCAGCCAGGTGGGTGCAGCCATCGAGGCGGAAGAGATGTTCACGAAAACCACATCTGCCGCCGGGCTTGCGGGGATTTAGGGCTTTAGGGTTTTAGGGCGGTTTAGGGTTTAATTAGGGTTTAGGGCTTAGGGAGCAGGAGTTAAGGCTCGCCACTAGGTCCCCTTTTTCCGTTTATTACCGTTCAGGGTTCAGGATTTCGGGATCAGGCTTAGGTCAGTCGTAGTTTTGGGCTGGGTCGTCGTTTGAGGTGTAGTGTTGTGGGCTTGGGGCGTAGGCTTTTGAATCCCGCAGCACCAGAGCCTATCTGCAACCTGAGATACACCCCCAAACCCCCTCACCAATACAACTAGTTCTGTTTTTGTAATGTTAATCTCAGTTAAGCCCATTCCCTGAGTCTTAAGTTCCGCTCGACTCATAGATCCAGATGAAGCCAAAAGTCACGCGATGAATAGTACAGACTCTGAGGCTTCGACCACCGACTGCCCTAAAACTCCGGCTGTCCAAACTCAGGAGAAATTCTGCCTTCATGTAGAGCAAGAGAAAGCGGAGAAGGGAGACAAGCGCTACCAGAGTGAACTGCAGAAGTACCGAGGGTCTCTCGTCTCTGATTTACAGGTTGGCTCAGAGGGCTTCGGTGGCTTGCGCACACTTGTGAGCGGATCGTGGCTCTTGTAGGCCTGCCGGTTTAGGGTTTAGGGTTTAGGGGTTTAGGGGTTTAGGGTTTAGGGTTTAGGGTTCAGTTTGGCATGCAGAGGTCCATTTTCCGAGATTTCACAGCCCCAAGATTGCAAGCCAGACCCTCCGTGTCAAATTGAGGAAGACTCACTAGTCCAGGGGACTGGGATGTCCTTCAACCTAAGGCCCTAACCCTAAACCCTAAACCCTAAACCCTAAACCCTAAACCCCAAACCCTAAACCCCAAAGGAAACCCCAAGCCTGAAGCCACCAAGGCCCATCAAGTTTAGCTCCCCAGAACCTTCGCCCGCCTTCCCGTCCCTTGGGGCTTGAATGCCCGAAATCCAATTAAGGTTTAGGGTTTAGGGTTTAGGGTTTAGGGTTTAGGTTTTAGGGTTTAGGGTTTAGGGTCCTCGAATGTAAACCCTAAGCGCAATTTAGGGTTTAGGGTCCCAACTTCCTGGGCCCTAAAGCCGAAATGTGAAGCTCGACCCACTCAAAGGCTCCAGGAACAGTATGAAGGCAAGATGGAGATGGAGCGAAGACGACTGAAGGCGGAGTGGGAACAAGCGTGCAAGGCGGCTGCCCTAAAGATCAAGGGGATTGGGATTCAGGATTTCGTATTTGGGGTTTCAGGTACTGCTTTCAACATTCCGCCTTTGGTATTGGACATGGAAGCGTCAGGTTCAGAGTTTAGGACACCTAAACTACTCAATCTACCCTGGGCGCCCTTCCGCAGGGCTTGCGTTTTTCTGCTTCGGATTGTGGAGGGAGGTTCGGACCGCTGCCCTTCACCTCAAAGACGCTGTGAGGTTAAGGAGGAGGGTTTACGGTTTAGGGTTTTACAACCTGCAGTGGCGTACGGTGTGCAGGATACCTTAGGCTTGCAGTAGAGTTTAGAGCCTCAATAGGGTGTTGGGGCTGGGATTTTGGTTGATTGGTTCCTTGCACCTTCAGAGGCATAGAGACCGAAGTGGGTATGCCCAGATTTACGGCAAACCCCCCTCCCCCCCCCCAGAACCCTAAACCCTAACCCCTAAAACCCCTAAACCCCAAACCCTAAACCCTAAACCCCTAGCCCTAAAACCCCTAAACCCCAAACCCTAAACCCTAAACCCCTAGCCCTAAAATCCTTAAAAACCTTAAAACCCTAAAACCAAAAACCCTAGACCGGAATTCAGGAGTTTTGGGCTTGAGGATCGGGCCAGTAAGGTAAAGTTTAAGGGATCCTAGCACTAATCCCCCTAAACCCATGTTCCAACTTTCTGGCTTCTACTGTCTCGTTTATGAACGTATGAACGACTACCATGGGATCGTGGTTTGGAAGGCTTTGTGTCAGTCGGAGTTTGTTCAGAAGCCCCTGATTATCTTTGTCCTGCTGTTCTTTGGGATGGCTTTCAGTCTTGCCGCTGAAGCCAACCA